CAGTTAATAATCATTCTGATATGCTTCCTCTGCCCTACCCCTGTGCCATTATATCCCTGAGCTGCTTTATTGTAAGGGTTAAACGTTGGTTTCTCCTTTGCTCTCTCCTTTTCCCTTCACCTTTGCAATGTCAGAGGTCAGGGGTTAAATCGAAAAGTATTTTCTATACCACAAAACAGTGCCACTTAGGGTAGGCTTTGATATCATTCTTCATGTTTTGCCAGTTGGTACCAAACATTTACTGACCCACAAAATGTTTTACCATCTTGAAAGAGCATAAAATCAATCGATCGATCAATCAATCAGCCCACTTTATGGCTTGGGCGGGACAAATCCCTGTGCTCCTTGAGTGAGGAGAAGAGTGACTATGTGCAAGTCTGATTTATTATGAACTAGTTACTGCCCCAGCCAAGGTACCATGTAAAAGACGAGTGTTGGAGTGAGGATGCTGTCCCCTCCTCCTCTTTCCTCCTTCGTATGTCTAGACTAAAAGCCCCCAGTAAAAATGTCTTCTTTGAGAACAAGATGCTGACTGCAATTCATCAACTTGCTTGTCCCAAAATGAAATCTCTCATTTTGCTCCAAACAATGTTTAGGTTGTCTGAAATATAAACATCCTTAAAACTGCCCTTGAAGTCTCTGTAAAAACATTCAGCATTTTTTTTAAGGGGGGAAAATCCCATGATAGCCAAGGCATACTGAGACTTCTCTGCCCTGGTACACACCACCCACGGCAGATGTTACTCCCAGGTAAAAACCCTATTTTGAAACAGAAAGCTTTGTTTCAGGTCTTTTAGAAACTGAAGACTTTCCAATTGTCTCATTGGGAAATTGAAAAGGAGCAGGTTTGTGCCTGTCTTAATTGCTCGAGGTGTAGCTTGCCAGGCTGGGCGACAATGGGGGAATTGGGTGGAAAGGAAGGAGAACTGTTAGCAGTTTTAAAACCTGTTTTTCCCTTTGGGTAGGGCTCAGGTGAGGAAAAAATGTCTGAATTATATATAAGGAGTCACCTCTCATCTCCACCTTCAAAGGGGGAAATCAAGAAACAATAAGATATCTGATAAACCAGCAAGACCTTGTTAGAGGTCTGAGATGGAGTGAGATTCATTCTTATCAAAACAAAAACTTGAGAAACAAAGCTCCCTCTATCAATAATAATAACTCAATGTGTTTATGGTGTTTCTTTTATAAAAACAACGACAACAACAAAACCTACCACTATTTCCTACTAATGTTAAGAATGTAATCCATATGGCTGAGAATTCAACTGCTTCAAATTGCTAAAAAACTAGGAAATTAGCTAATTTCTATTTATAGCTTATCTCATTACTTTAAGTGAAACTATGGTAGAGTTCCCTCATAAGCTTTAGTTTTCCCTGGTTTTGGAATTTAAAAAAGTTAATGTGAATATTGCAGATTTTTCCCTCTAGATTTTTAGGAGACTATTAATTTTGCCGTTAGGAGTATGGGACACACTTGAGGTTTGCAGTTGATGGCACCTGGGGGACTTTCCAGACAACCCCCTGCAGTAGAGTTCCCCTTAAATTTTTATTCCTCTCTAGACACAATGTATTTATATACACAAACACAAATCTAGATTTTGAGATTTATTATAATTCTGAATTTGTCTCCCCAGAATGAATTTTGCCACTTCATATCCCAGCTTCAAGAAGTGGCATTCCGGAAGCTCTGAGGAGTTTTCAGAATTTGATGGTATCAGGACATTTTACAACAGAGTCTTTGTCATCCTATATACATGTGACATACATACAAGGAAAGTGACTCTCACCGCTTTAGTCCTAATGATAGGATGTCGCAATTATTATAAAATTTCCCCCTTCGTTAAAAAAAAAAAATCCTTATTTTAAAAACATACAGTGAAAACACTTGACATAAAAAAAGATAGTAGTTTCGAACTAATTAGAATTCTAGACTTTTCGAGAATATAAATCTCCGGAAATGAAAAACCTAGCATCCCAAAATAAGTCAGAACATAATAATACTCCCTGGAATTCATATAATTGTGAATCTCTCAAAATGTTCTTGGGAGTAAGGGAAGAGGCATTGTTATGATCCCATTTCATAGATAGATAAATAGGGCACAGAGATGAATTCACCCAGCAATGGGGCTAGAAAGCAAAACCTAGGTCTCCTTACACACTGCTGTGCCCTTTTCTTTAGATGTAAAATATTTAATTGTGGTAAAATCTTCACCACCTCAAAACAAGATCTGAATGGAACCCCTCAAGTACTGTGAAGGGTTATGAGCCTGAGTTAATCCAGACTGCCACATGGAAAAGCCATCTGGGAGGGTATTTTGAAAGAAACAGATGGGAAAGGAAGAGATTCTTTTGAACGCAGTGTAAAATTTACATTATCCTCCATGAACTTCCATGTAGTCCCCATGTTTATATAATTCATCACTGTGTCCTCAGACAATATAGATTAGGAAGCCCAATGAGCTCATGTTCTTTTTTCCAATTCTGAGTCTGAACTCTCCTTTCAAGGGTGAATCTGGAGCCGGGTCTGTAAAACAGCCAGATTCATCAGTGAAGACCAACCCAATCCATCTGTGGCTTCTTTGATATTCCTGATTCTCTTGGGAAAAAATTTATGATTTCACTTACATCATTTCTTGGTGTATTACTGCCCAAGTTGTAATCAGTTTCAGCCACACTGATAGTCTCCACCTATGATTTATTTGTTTCTGCCTCTGTACTTTTGAATATGCCATTCATCTCATCTATAACATCTTCCTTTCTTCCCTCTAATTTATGTCATCTTCCCTTCTGCAGCTAAACAACAACAAAATAAAAACTCTCCCGGGAATCATTCCCTTAAGTAACACATGGCATTCCACTCATTCGTATCCATATCCATCCATATCCCCTATCCCCTATGTGCCTCATATACATTGACATTCTGTGGTCATTTGCTCAACAAATGTTCAAACCTCTCCTTATGTGTGTTCACTGAGCATCTTCATCCTGGGCTGCATATTAGAATCACTTGGGGAGTTCATAAAAAATACTGATGCCTGGTCTCCAGACCAAATAATCAGAACCACTGAAGAGTGGGGCCAGTGTTGTGTAGGTAAATGTTTAACAACTTGCTCTCCAGGAAAAAAAGTCCTGATTTGTACTATCTGTCAATTTCCATGGTGTAAATACTCCCAACATAGTGGATTTCAAGCTACCTACTAGACATCACTTAACATAGAATTTGAAGAGATGATCACGATTGGCTCATAAGGACTGACTCCAGCACACAGCACTGGGTAGGGTTCAGGCATATGTATATATGTGATACCTATATGTCTATGTATCTATCTATATGGCATATATATGGTGAAATATAAATATATATATGGCATATACATGGTGAGATATGTCTAATAACCATATAAATACACATGGTGAGATGTATATATAATTAATTATATATATATATGTAATCTCTCGGTGATTCTAATATGCAGCCCAGGTTAAGAACGTCTGAGCTAGATTACACATTTCTCAGATGCAGTGATTGTGTTTTTGTTCACCTCATCTTCCCTAAGGCACCGAGAATAGAGATTGAAGCAATGCTGTTAACAGACCACATAAGGTTATTACTCTATTCTTCACAGCCTAGGATGTGGCAGTGAGCACTGTAATATCCTTTGACCCAAATGCACAGAATTATAAATTCACTTTCTCTTGATTTTCTTACTGATGAAGAATGAGAGGCTAAATCTTTGGGATCTCCTACTTAAAATGTCAAGTTTTCATTTATATTTCATTTTGTTCAATATGTTCACCAACACTCAAACACTGGCCCCCTACCACTCCAGGCCTTTACGTATGGGAACAGCCATGAGAATGACTTTTTTTGTGGTAACTCTGCTTTTATTCTACCTAAAGCACACGTGTAGTTATTCAGATACATTTTCCCTGTATGCTTACATGTGTTTGGAAGCTTCCATTCTCTTTCAAGCAGCATTTATAAAGAGTAGTAGACACATAAGATTGCCCAGATGGTCTTTCCCAGGCAAGGGAACATTGTCCCAAGAGGAAAGGGGGCAAGAGACATTTTTAGAGACCTCTAGGGAAAAGATCCCATGGATGTTTTAAATTACATGAAAGAGACCTACAAAGAACTTGGTAACCCATGACCCTGCTTAATAACTCACTTCAGCAGGTTCTGCATGATACACCTGGATCTCCCGCCATCCCTTTAAACCCAGAAGGGGAGGACAGCGGGATATTCTTATACTTTAATAACAGCTCATATACTTGGCAATCATGATTAATTTAGTCTTCAGTTGTCTTTTCTTCAAGATATACTTCCTCAATAAATATGATTCTTGTGTTTCTGTGTACAGATTATAGTTAGGACAAGGAAGCCAGGTATATGGAACAAGGCAAGGAAAGCTGGTTCCTTATTTTGATGTTGCCAGCCTTCAGAACTTCTGATTCAGACATTGAAGCAAGACCAGAGAGTTCAGCAACCTGCATAATTAGTATAACAATGTCCCAGTTTCCCAGCCTCCATGGGGGTGTTTTGGGATCATCAAATGTTATAAAATAATTCAACGAACAGATATGTTTCCAGTCATGAATCATGAAATATTTTGCAGCTAATAAGTCTCATATCAAATCAACAGAATATGGAAAGTCTGGTGGAAAAGACAAAATTTGATGTTTAAGAGTTGGTAAAACACATGATAAAATTAAACATATGTTTTATATATGAGGCACTGAAATAAACGGTTTATTTTTTAAAGGATTTACGTTTGCTTTGCACACTTAAGACCTTGATCTTCTAGGGTTTTTAAACACACAGTCTCAGACTATGTGTTCTCAACTTTGTCTGAAGAATACAAGAGATTTTCAAGAATACTTCAATGCTGATGTAATCAAAACCAGAAAAATACTAATTAAAGGCTTAATCTGGGGACTTTTTTTCACTTTATTTTTTATATTAATTGGGAGAAAAAAATCGTAATGATCATCTCTTACCTGAGCAGGCTTCTTCTGAACGACTTGTTGTGGCTAAGGAAGAAAAAAAAACGGTTATATTTTAAAAGAAAACATACATAATGAAAAAAATTAATCACGTGTTTTAAATATAGACATTTGTCTGCAACATGAAGAAAATTTCAAGATTCAAATGGTTTTTCTAAGGTTAAAGGGTGTTTATACATGATCTCTATATGTTAGGGATATACAATGCATGTTATCTCAATTAAAACAATTCCCAATTAAAGTCTGTCATACATACCAGCTACATCAAAATAAACTTGCCATTCAATTTGCTTTGTTTTTAGTCTGCATATCACAAAACTTGAAGAGTGAAAGGGCCTAATTTGTTAATATTTTGTTTTTTTAAAAAACATCGTTATTGGGATATGATTCAAAGTTTTTTAGTATATTCAGAGGGTTGTACCATCATCACCATAATCTAATTTTAGAACGTTTTCATCTCTAAAAGCAACTCCATATCCCCCATTAGTGGCCACTCCCCACTCCCTCCTGCTTCCCTAGCCACCCTCCCATCCCTAACCGACCACCAACCTACTGTCTGTCTCCATGCATTTGCCTATTCTGGACACTTCATGTAAATGAAATCCTGCAATATACGGTCTTTCGTGTCAGGGTTCTTTCCTTTAGCATAATGTTTTCTAGGATCACCTACGTTGTAGCATGCATCAGTAGTTGACTTCTTTTTATTGCCAAATAATAGTCCATTATGTGGATATACTACATTTTTTTAAGCCATCCATCAGTTGATGAACATTTGGGTTTCCACCTTTTGGCTATCAAGAATAACGCTGCTACAAACATTCATATATAAGTTTTAGTGTGGACATATTTTCATTTCTCTCGGGTCTACAGCTTGAGTGGAATTTCTCGGTCATACAGGTAACTCTATGCTAAACTTTTTGAAGAGCTGCCAGTTTTCCAAAGCAGCTGCACCATTTTATATTCCCACTAGCATTGTACGAGGGCTCTAATTTCTTCACACACATGCCAGCACTTGTTATTGTGGCATCCTGCTGGGTGTGAAGTTGAATGTCATCCTTGTGGTTCTGATTTGAATCTCCCTAATGACTAATGACGTGGAGCATCTCTTCATGTGTCTGTTGGCCATTTGTATATCTTGTTTAGAAAAATGTCTATTCAAACATTTCGCCTATTTTTAAATTTGTTTGTCTCTTCATTATTGAGTTGTAAGAGTTCTTTATATATTTTGGATACAAGTCCCTTATCAGAAGATGATTTGCAAATATTTTCTCCCATTTGGTTTGTTCATTCTCTTGATGGTATCATTTGCATAATATTTTGTTTTATCTACATCTATATATATTTAATTGTCTATGTAGAGCAAACTCTCCTCTTTTGAGTGAAACATCTAAGGGAACTTTTTCTATGCAGCCTAAATTAATTTTCCAATAATTACAGTATTTGAAAAATATTTAAGTTATTCTTTGGTCTTGAGAAACATGGATTTGAAGCCCAAGCTTTTTGATGGATTCCTTCTATACTCACTCTCAGGTCTCAATATAAGCCTTACTTATTCTATCTACACGTCACTGAGATTTGCGAATACAACTGAGCCACCTTGATGTGGATAGTGGCATGCTTTCATGTGACAAAAGAAAGAAATAAAATTGCTACAGTTCTCCCAAATAACAGAAGTTAGGGCAAAGTCACCATATGATAGAGGGGCAGAGCTCCTATTCATTGTCCGTCCTCTCAGAATTTCTGGGACGGTGTGATGTCTTATTGCTTATGTACTAAACATGTTATGTAAAAATCATCAGAGCTTTTTAAAAAAAAAAAATAAACCAGATAAAAATAAAAGAAATAGCAAAATATTTTTGCTCACTGAAAAAAAAGTTCTTCTCTTTGACTTTAAATCACAGCAGAGATGACATCATAAAAGCCCGGGTTTTGAGATGATGTTTTCTCCAGGTGGAATCAAACCAAGGATGATTCGGACTTCCTGCCTCTTAGGATTCAAAAGTGTGTGCTAAGAGAGTATTCATTTCAAAAGAGTCGTTTGCAAGAACAGACCGCTTTTCTTCCTTCTCTTTTTTCCTGCCGATTACACCTGTACACATGTTTATTCCCAAACCATTTCAAATCCCCACACATTCTTGCAGGCTGACCGGTTCCTACTGCTCAGAAGTCCCCCTCCCTTTTTGGCCGAGGATCCCGCATTCATGTGACTCTTGCACACTGGGGCTCAATGAGATCCTCTCAGAGGGCTGCCAGCTCACCCAATTTTCCATGAATTAGGTCCTGACACTTCAATGAGGGGAAAGACAATGTCTGAAACCCTGCCAGCCCTGGCTCTCAGCCTAGTCTGTGTCACAGAACTTCTACCAGCTGCCCCTCCACACAGCACTTCATACTTTTCAGACCACCAAACAAACGGGCCCTTGAATATTCTCAGTGCGGGCTGGGGTTATGGTCGCCACGATGTTTTCCCAGCTGCTGGCACCCAGTGGCTCCAGACTGTGCCGAGAAAGTTTTTTGTTGTTGTTATTTTGTTTTGTTTTTATTTTTATGAATGGCTTTGGTACAAAATGCAGACGGATGCATAATACTACTGTCATTCATAAAAAGTGAAAGGAAACACTGCAGTCTGGAAATCTTTTGGGAAACTCCAAACAAACCGCAAGTTTTCTATCTTCCTTGAGGTATCTCCTAGCTTAGAACTAAGGGTTGATGCCCAGAAACCAGTTACCTCGTAGGATTCTTGTCATTAAAAACCTGGATGACCACTTTATTTTTGTAAGAAGAACCGAGTAATATCCACTAAGCATATTAATCTTTAGTGTGGTTAACAGTGTATTTTCCTGCATCTTAATAAACGAGTAATATTTTGCACTGTATTTCCCATATGGAAGATAAAATCTTTTCTATTTTTAACGCCTGTCCTTTTGTGATTGGCAGGGCCCAGGCCTTATTATTTCCATTTGCTCACGGGGAAACTAAGGCAGAGGGAATTTAAATAACTTCACTGAGATCATTTTCTGAACCTAAAACAACTGAGTCTTTTTTTTGTGTGTGTGTGTGAGGAAGATCAGCCCTGAGCTAATATCCGTGCTAATCCTCCTCTTTTTGCCGAGGAAGGCCGGCCCTGAGCTAACATCTATTGCCAGTCCTTCTCCTTTTTTTTTCCCTTTTTCTCCCCAAATCCCCAGTAGATAGTTGTATGTCATAGTCGTACATCCTTTCTAGTTGCTGTATGTGGGACGCGGCCTCAGCATGGCTGGACAAGCAGTGTGTCAGTGCGCGTCTGGGATCCGAACCCGGGCTTCGGCAGCGGAGCGCGTGCACTTAACCGCCAAGCCACGGGGCCGGCCCACAACTGAGTCTTCTAATGCTCTTAATCCCCTGTATAACGCTCTGAGGAAACCTGTTCTCATCTTTAAAAAACAAAGAAGTCAAATCTAGATCCAACCCAGGAGGAGAAGCTACACTTCATGGCCTTGACTCCCCCTCCAGAGTCACCTTCTTCGGGATCTCTCCAGATTCCCCACTGCCACCACGGCAGGGCCCAGCTCTGATTCTCCACAGCTGCTAATGAAAAATGAATCTGAGGGGACAAGAATGAGGCCCACAGTGTCCAGCTGCCCCCCAACCCCTTGAGATTCTTCCTACAGTATCCACTGTGGAGGGTCTGAAGAAGTGTCTTTTAAAGGCATGGATTTCATAACGACTGTTCTATTGAACAGATGGCCAAGCCTTCCAAGTTGCTTATTTAGACAATTCTGATGATTCCATTTCTAACTAGTCTGTGCCCTGGTGAGTTTACACAGTTTAGCACATTTTGTTGACTTGGGCTGCAAACCGCTCAGGGCACTGAGATTTTGAGTTCCTTATGTTACGAGATTGTTACACCTTTCAAATAGCTTGCAGCAAAAATCTCTCATTCCACTGTTGCATTTAAACTTCTAAAATACAACGGGTGAAAGAGAGCTTCCTCTCAGAACAAAACAACACCACAACCAAAAAAGGACTTTGAAGAAATGCTTTGGATTAATATAGTGTTAAAATAAAACTGTGACGAGAACTAAGAGACCCCATCAATTGAATGTATCCAAGAAAGATCAAGAAGGGCACCTCTCTAACCATATGGACTTTAGTGTGTGGTTCTCCACAGGTTACTCCTTATACTGGACCAGCTCAGCAAATTGAAAGTACAATCTTTAAGCAAATAACTATTATTGCTAAAGTCTGTAAATAGCTTAGGATACTGCATCTAAGAAAGCACAAAGAATATGAAAAAGGAAAGAACATAATTTTGGATTTCTGAGATCATACCGCAAACCACTATTTCTCCAAATGAAAGGGAAAAAGTTACTGAATTTTTAATGTCCACAGAGTATTTTGGTTTTTAAGATTTTGTAGGAGAACACTTCTGAAGGAAATGGCCTGCCACTCCATCTATTTCAGAATAATTAAGGGGTTCCCCAGCCCTCCTGAGAATCCAAACTATGGTTCCGAGGAGTCTTGGTATTTTAAAGCTGATCCTTAGACAGGTAAGCCAGCCCTTCTAGCAGCATTGAAAGAAAATCCTTCCTAACAAAGGACCTAGACATTACTAGTTCATGTTAGTACTAATCTAAACATTAAAGGAAAAGGGTCCTGAATTGGGCTTACCAACTCAATTTTTTAAAAAATGAGGTTCAATGTATAGTAAAGTAAGGATGATCATTATGCAAAGGGTCGCAAATTGACCTTTGAAGGAAAACAGCCCTTCATTTGGATCTCTGTGCAGATGGGTCTTTTGGTTTTATGTGAGCAGCAGAATTTTAACCTATTTATATCCTTTGTTTTTTTGCCAGCCAGCAGTAGGCGGTTTTGCTTACTTTGTTTTAAAATCATAGGACCACTGTTCAATCAAGACGTACTTCTGTTCCTTAGCACAATTTTTTTCATGTAGATTGTTTTTCATACTCATAGCAGTATAGGGTAAGAGAGATCCCCTTGCTATTTACTAAAAAAGAATTTAAAAACCCACAAACGAAAGTTACATT